CTGGACTAAGACGTTTTGTTTGGGATGTGTTTGCCTGAGTTCTTTGAATTTAGAAAGGATTTGAGACTTATCATGAATTAAGTAAATAAGCTGTTTCTTATTATGATTTCCTTTCACTAGTTTACAAGATTAAGTATAAGATTCATATGCAGTGTGTAGTATTCTGCAGGATTTGCCACATGAACAAAACACTTAAATCCACAAAACCAAGTAGAAAAAACCTAATAGATTATCTCATAATTGAAATAATGTTGAAATTAAGGAATTACCAATGAAAAATTTGGCAAAATAGGAAGATCTGGACCTTTTTTACAGAAAGATAATACCGTAATCAAATTCATGACACATAGAGGAAAGACAGATCTGAAGTCACACACTGGAAATCCCAGCTACTCCAGAGGCTAAGGGAGGAGAATTGCAAATTCAACACCATTCCGGCAGCATAGAAAGACCCCATCTCAAAATAAATAAATAAATGAAAAAGGACAGCAGATAAGAAATTCACATCACAACATTTCCTTTTATTAGGTTTTAGCCCTCCTACTCATTTCAATTAAACTGAATTATGTATTGTGCCATATAATCTTAAGAAAAACCACCATGTATGGGGGTGTTTTGTACAGATCTTTAAAACCACCTTTTATTTTTAATTTTTTTTCCAGGGCTTCTTTCACATCCTTGTTCCGTAGGCTGTAAATCAGAGGGTTCAGCATGGGAATTACCAGGGTGTAAAACAGTGAGGTCATTTTGTCCTGCTCTAAGGAGTAGGAAGAACTGGGACGGAAGTACGTGAAAAGCATGGTTCCCTGGAAGATGGCGACGGCAGTTAGGTGGGAGGCGCAGGTGGAGAAAGCCTTGAACCTCCCCTCAGCAGAGCGGATCTTTAGGATGGATACAATGATATAACAATAAGAGATAAGGACTCCGGAAATGGTGCTCAGTTCAATGAATCCAAAGATGATGAATAATGTCAGTTGATTGACTTCTATGTTAGAACAGGAAAGAAGATAAAGTGGAGGCAAATCACAGAAGAAATGGTTGATTTCATTAGACCCACAGAAACATAGACGGAATGCCATTGTGGTGTGGATCAAAGCATCTGTGAGTCCCACCAGGTAAACCCCAGCCACCAGCAGGGAGCACAGCCTGCTGGACATTTGAGCCGTGTACAGTAAGGGGTTGCTGATGGCCTTGTAGCGATCAAAGGCCATCACAGCAAGGAGTACACACTCAGAATCTGCGAAGGTGCAGGAGATGAAGAATTGCAGAGCACAACCAAAAAAAGGAATTGATTTATCCTTGCCAAATATGTCCACCAGCATCTTTGGTCCAATTGCTGTGGAATAGCAGAGGTCACAGAAAGACAAGTGGCTGAGGAAAAAGTACATTGGTGTGTGGAGCTGGGGATCCATTCTAATTAAGATGATCATTCCCTGGTTTCCCAGAAAGTTAATAAGATAAACGAGGAAAAACATGGTAAACAGAGTCGCTTTCATCTCGGGGTTACTGGCAATTCCCTTGAAAATGAATTTAGTCAGTGAGCAATTTCTCTGGTCCATTGTTCTTTTCTTGTCTGAGCTTTTGATAAAATGATAAAAAAATTAAGCAAATAGGTGCATATTTCACATTTCTGAATATCAATAATATACTTGTAAATCATTTTTTATTTTCTTAATTTTTTTTGGTCTTTTTGAAACAGTCTCACTATGTTCAGGCTGGCCTTGAGCTCACTTTGTAGCCCAGGCTGATCTCAAACTCCCAAGGATCCTCCTGCCTCAGCTTCCCCAGTGCTGGGATTATAGGTGTGCACCACCACGCCAGGCATATACTTGTAAATTAAAATACAACTTGTTTTATTGTTCTTTGAAGTTTGGGAAAATTATCCATGTAGTCATGTTTCATTTTAAAAATATCTATTTGAAAATAATAAAATGTATCTGAGATAGTTGTGATATTTTGATAGACATAAATATCATTTATGAAGTCTGTGCCTTTTTAAAAGTGCCATAATTTCTGTGGACCCTACTTTCCTTATCTCAGGGGATAGAACTGAATAAATTGTAGTATCACTTGGTCTTCAAAATAATGTATAGTACTTTGGAGATTTCTCCAAAGAGACTTTGGAGAAATAAGGTGCAAGATATAAGAGCAAGCAGTTACGGTGCTTCAGAGTATTTATGTGGACACCAAATGATAACAGTTATACTCCTAAACATCATGACTGGTTCAAAATATTTTATATTACTTCTATAAATACAGAGTATGTAAGTAACTGATAATCATGAAACTTGTCATATTGCATTTCTTATTTGTTGTTTCTTTCATATTTGTAGTGACATGAAATTCATTGTATCAAATTTTTTCACAATACAACTTACCTTCTTCTAGCAGTGTTCTGATTCCAAGGGATGAGTACCTCGACTGAAAAGAACATACTGAGAAGAAGCAGAGTCAGCAGAATTTAACACATTACTTGTATTTTCTTATATGTGAAACAGGCCTCTGTGACACAAAATCAAATCAGCATGAGGGACAATAAATGTTCTGTGGAATACAGACTTCCTTACACATGTATGTAATTCCCTATAAATATCCAGGACTCAATGTATTTACATCTCTTTGTTCATTTATGAGAGCTGGAATGTGGAGATGGTATTTGTGGGATTATTTTAAGATTAAGCAAATACAGAATGTATTTCACATACAGTTGAATCTACATACATTGCTATTATAGTGCTATAAGTAAAAATACTTTGAGATAACACAAATTGCAAAATCTTTTAAATTCACGCATATGCTTGTACAATGATTTAAAGGAATCAAAGCTCTCCTATGTACCAAGATTAAAATAAAAGAAGCAAAATATTACACTGTGCATACTATTGACTTCAGTCCCATATTTTAAATTCTGAAGGTAAAATATTTTCAGGCATTAGCATTTTCAAGACAATTATCAAGTTGGGTAGGCATACAATGATTTACTCACAAATATCTTGTTTTGAAAAAGTAAATTATTTTCCCTTTACTCTACATCTTTAAATCTGATGACTCTGAACCTACCTCTGGTGAGCAGATCTGGTAGATAAACCCTAACCAAAGAGCATTTTATTTCGGTAGGTACCATTTGGGACTTGACTCTTTGATGCTGTTTCCCTTGGGTTTGGTGGCATTATGTTTGTCATTATGTATTCTCCTCTGTGAATGTCTTCAGTTTAAGCAAAAGTTGAACTTTTTATTCTTTATAATCACAATGAAAACGATCTATTTCACAAAGAAAACCAAAAAGTGTTTTGTGTGTGTGTAGCTGTGTGTATATGTACTATGTAATATAATTCAAACCTTCATTTTCCAAAGTAGGAATCTAATTAAATGCAAACACCCAGGTGTTAAGTCATTCCCACTTTTTCTTGTTTGTTTGTTTGTTTGTTTGTTTTCCGGTAGTGGGAATCGAATTCACAACGTTGCGCTTGCCAGGCAGGCGCTGTGCCGCTGAGCTAAATCCCCAGCTCTCCCCCACCTTTTTTGTCTACTGTTCATTTCTCTCCCATTTTAAGGTTTCCTTTATTACTTCACTCAGGAATATTATTATCCTTTATTAATGTCCAAGGGCAGTGGTGAAGATTTCTGCTCCTCCAAGATGGGAATGCTTCCTTCTTTCCCTTTCTCTTTGCTCCAGGTTAGAAGCCCACTGGCTGGTGCCACCCACATCCGGGGTGGGTCTTTCCCTTTCGTTTGCTGGCCTACATATCAATCATCCTTGACACACCCAGAACTTTCCTAGTCTGCTAAATGGTTCTTACTCAGTCAAGCTGACACATCACTGTTAATAATCACAGTTGATATTATCTATAATAGATGCTTATGCGTGCTATGGAATTCCAAGACATGAAAATCTATGTTTATGTGTACTGCATCTATCCTACTGTTGGATTTTCCTTAAACTTGGTTCATTAAAATGGTTTTTGGGTTTAGAGTGCATGATTGGTTTGTGTAGCTTTGAGTGTAATTGATCTCTTACTATCAAAGGAAGAACAAAACTTGCAGAAGGGAAGCACTGATCATCAGAAATCTCAAGAAAGGATTCTTCTGGAAATTTAAAGCTGGCCCAAGAAATGATTTTAGCTGTATCTTCAAAGAGACTGTAGATGTAAGTATACATTTTCACTGATATTTCCAGATCAAAGTCTTAAATGTTTATTATCATATAATAATGAGTATGTATAGCAAAGAATATTGGTTTCCGAAATACATTTTTGCAAAGATACACATCCTCTGATTGCAGTGAACATTCCCTGTAGAGAGCTCCACTGTGACACTGGGTTGACCTTCCCCAAGAACACAGGACAAAACCAGTGATACTTTAAGAGTACAGAATGCCAGGGAAGGAACTTCCACACTTTTTACAGTACTCTGATATATTAAAAATATGAGGTAGAGGAAAAATATATAATTATGTTTTTTCACTACAACTAATCTATATTGCTCAATCTATGAAGAAAATGTTTCCAAATCACAATTTGAAATAGATTAGGTGTGAAAGACTATCAAAAAGTTAGTAAACTGTATTTTTAAGTAGTACTTGGTTTTCACATGACTTTTGTAATCTTCCCACATGTCACCATCTTTGGGTATAATAGGACCTTTAATTAATGTGCAATATGCTATAAAGGAATAATACAAATCCCTTAAAATTTGAACTGTCCAGACACTATTCTCAGCACTTAACTGCATTAATCTTATCAACCATTCAATAATTGATGATATAGATACAGTGTTCTCAAAGCAACATTAGTAATCAAAGAAATACTGAGCAACGACTACTATTTAGCTGCTCCTTTGAACTTTATTTATTTATAGTTTAGGACTATAAAATGCACTTTACTGTGTTAAAAAGGAAACCATAAAAAAAAAGTGTTTGCTACAACTCGAGTGACTAGTTGCGTGTCCACCCGTGAAGTTGTGGTAAGTTCCCAGTTAGACTCGGGAAATGTTAGCATTTCTCATGAAGAATCTACCTTCAATCTCAGAGCCTTCTTAGCTGCATCTTTTACATCTTTATTTCTCAAACTGTAAATCAGTGGGTTCAGCACAGGAATGACAATGGTGTAGAACACCGATACAACTTTATCCGTGTTGGGCGAATACAGGGAGCTCGGCCTCGAGTAAATGAAGAGAAGCGTCCCCTGATAGATGGCCACAGAGGTCAGATGTGACGCGCATGTAGAGAAGGTTTTCTTCCTTCCCTCGGCTGAGCGGATCTTTAAGACTGAGAGAAGAATGAAAAAGTAGGAGACGACGATGATGAAGAAACAGATAATTTCCACGGAGCTGCCATAGGTGGAGAGAAGCCACTCGTTAACCGTTGTGTCCGAGCAGGACAGCTTCAGCAGAGGAGGGAGGTCACAGAAGAAATGATTAATAACATTTTTGTCACAGTATTTCAGGATAAAAGCAAAGGACGTATGGACCAGGGAACTCATGTTGCCTCCGATGTATGACAAAACAATCAGCCTTATGCAGATGCCCTGAGACATGACGACTGCGTAGAGCAGAGGGTTACAGATGGCGACATAGCGGTCGTACGCCATGGCGGCCAAGATGAAGGATTCCGTATCTGCAAAAGTGCAGAAAAAGTAAAACTGCAGTGCGCACCCGTAGTAGGAGATAGACTTGTTCTCTGATAAGAAATTGACTAGCATTTTGGGGACGATGACTGAGGAGTAACAGAGGTCTACAAGGGACAGGTTGCTGAGGAAAAAATACATGGGAGTCTGAAGATGCGGATCCGTCCTGATTAAAAGCATCAGTCCAACGTTCCCCACTAGAATCAGACCATATAGCATGAGAAATACGAGGAATAAGACCACCTGCAGTTCAGGGCGTGTTGGAAAACCTAGTAGAATAAATTCAGTGACCACCGTGTAGTTTCCACCCGCAAATTCCATCTTCTGAGTGGCTTCCCTTCTTTAGAGAACCTAATGTCCTAACAAGTTATGCAGATGAAAAGAAAGAAATAATTAGATGTATGACCATTTTCTTCTTAAAAAATATACAAAAACTCGAGTCAGATCGCACACCATATTAAACTTCTTTCAAGCATAACCTCTAAGAGCTATACTTCAGCAATGAGTGGCTATATCAGTTTATGAATTCTTATGGCTGTTTGATACAGACTGATTAATGATGATGTGTGCCACTGAACAGCTTGTTCTTGTGTGAGGGGTCAGTTTTTTATTTTGCTTCATTTTATACAACAAGCATGAAAGAATAACTGGCTAAGGGTGAAATAACTAAGAAATGAGGGAACAGAGAAGTGATAGGCTGAAGATTAATGTATACATTGTTTAAAAGACATTTACAGAATTGTAGGTATCACTATGAGAACTTTAGAACAATTCGCTTTTTCTGTCCAAGGCTTAATATATAATAGTTTCATGTATCACATGACAATATGGATGGAGTGGTTTAGATAATTATTTATAATTTTAAAATATAAAACAGAAAGAATATGACTGAAAGGAAACAAATGTCAGAAAATATAAAGTCTATGAATATCTTTAACAGAAAAGTTTAAGTGAATGCTTTAAATCCTGTCCACATACTAAGCCAAGCTGACAGATTGGTAATTTATTTCCATACCTTTATCACTGGATTCTAGGTAATATTCATTAAATATTCATTGGCTGATCGGGTAAACTATGTACCACACAATGATAAATTCACTTTGCAATTAGTTATATGGATCCAGGGATACAGCTCAGTGGCACAAGCACCTGTCTGGCAAATGCAAGGTCTTGAGTTCAGCTGCCAATATCCCCCCCAAAAAGGATGACACTGAATTAGGTTATATGGCATCCTCAGTAATGACATATCATCAGCAACCAAAACTAGATTTCCTCTACTTTTGTAGTACTATTACAAAAATTGTTGAGGCTGAGAAATCTGTCAATCAGTTTCTGGGATCTCAGAGCATTTCCAAGAATGGAATTTTAAGTGTCTTTCAAGCACTTGAATTAATTTGATTTTGAAGTACCAGGAATTTGAGTTTGAACTAGAAAAGAATGGGCTTGTAAATATATCAAGGAAGCACACAAGAAACATATCCAGTGACTATGTTATGTTGTCCAAGTTGTCCAGAAAGAAAGGAAATGTATTTCTGAATCATTCCTTCCTATAATAAATATCACGATAGTAACAGTGCTAAGGATATTTTTTGCTCACTTAGTCACTCAAATCACCCTATATTCTGGCCATACTGAAGTCAGAAGGGTGGTCATCAGAAGCTAAGCTCTTCCTCAGGAAGTTACGTTATTGTCTACAGTAGGAATAGAGCAATGTACTACTCCAGGGTAGTCCTTATTTTTACTTTGATGATATGCAATATAATAACCAATGTTAATTTCCAATCATCTTGTTTTGAAATTCTGGATCATTGTTAATGTTTTCTTTTTTTTATTTTAAAGAGAGTAGTAAATGAGAAACCAACAAACAAACAAAAAATAGAACAGTAGCAGCATACCAGGATCACAAACATAAACAAATCAAAGCAAAAACATTCAAAGTGATACAGGGTCTCAAGACAAAATAATATGAATCAACAGTGGTTGTTACATTATATATCTCTATCCTCAGTTACATTGCTCAGATTACTTGATGTAAGAATGAAAGGTTGCACAAACCATTAAGGGGAATAAGAAAATAATTCTTTGATAAAACATTAGAAATAATACAGGGTTTCACTAGACAAGATGGTAGGAGTTCACCATTGTAATTCCTTTGCATATTGTTACCTTCAAATCAGTTGTTCAGACCATCAGACATAAGCATGCAAAGTCGATCAGAACATAAAAAATTGTAAGCATTAACTGACATCAGCAATACAGTCATTGCAGCTATTCATATATATATTTACATTTTGCCTTCCTTCTTTCTTTTTTCTTTTTTCCCTCATCCCGGTCATTCCTTCCTGTGAGCAATTTCTTTCCCTTTCCTATCATCTGTTGTACATTTTGAGTTTTACCTAGTCTTTCAGATTCCTATACCAAGAAGACAATATGATGTTTACACATGTGGGTCCAATTTATTTCACTAATGAGTATGGTCTCTAGTTGCATCCATTTACCTACAAAAGACTATCTTTTTTAATAGCTGAGTAATACTCTATTGTTTTCTTTCTCTCTTTAAAATAAAAAAAAGTAGATAAGGCAGTTAGCCACACAAAGGTATTGCTTTAGAGTTAGTATGGATTTCGTTATAGTCTATCTTGGCCATATATGGGCTGTGTGACTTTGTAATTTAATATAAATTATTTTAATCTGTACTCTGATAATGATGAAAAATATCATACAGTGTTTCTGAATGGATTGAATTAGGAAAATCATCTACCTATCTACCTACCTACTTCTGTATCTCTTTGTCCTTCCATGTATCGTTCCATAGAGATAATGACACACAGTAGCTAAATATCAGCTCTTCCCTCTTATTGTATGAATGGAGACCTCTGTCAAGGTTCTACTAACAACCTGTATTACTTATATACCATCTGTTATACACAATCAGATATTCTAAACACTTTATCTGTAACTTAATTGTCACAAAACATCTAACAAAATTATGATGGAATTATTACTATTTTTTATTAATACTATAATTATCACCATCATTTTAAGTTTAGAAAAACTAAGAAAATGGTAATTTGAGGTTTATACCATAGCACAGTGTGGTGGCACATGCCTTTCACCCCAGCCCTCTGGAAGCTTGGGCAGGAAGATCACCAGGATGTAAAGACCAGCCTTGTCTGCAGAATGAGTTCAAAGTCAGCCTAACTTACATAGTGAAACCCTGTCTCAAAGAAGTAGAGAGAGAGAGAGAGAGAGAGAGAGAGAGAGTCAGAGACAGAGACAGAGACAGAGAGCAGGAGATTTATGATATGACAGGATTAGAGTCCAAGATGCTGATTTCAAAATCTCTGAAACACTAAAATGTAAACTATGTCTTATTAGTTAATCCACATACTGGATGATAGCATTGATGCATTGATGCTTACAATTCCATCCCAAGGTCACTGACTAAGTAGCTCACAGGTGTCATCCAAATTCAGGTGATTCTTGGGGGAAAGCCATGCAAAGAATATCAGGGTTCTGGGGACTTTAATACTGTGAACACTTTGAGAGGGGGTAAAGCCCCTTGAGTTGCTAAGGTGGTGGAGAAGAGCTGTGCTGTTTCCTGAAATGGTAGAGCATTCATTTACTTATTCATTAACCGATCATCTTCTGATATTCTATGAATTCTAATTGGAGACCTGATGGAAGTTAATGCAGAGCTGGAGGGAAGAGCTAGAAAGATTGAATCTTGGTTTCTTGTTTGAAAAAGAAGTTGAAACATTCTAATCAAAATACTATGGTTCACTACAGTCTCACCAACTATATTAAAAAAAAAAGCTTAGGTTATAAAATAAATTAAATTATAAGTAGACAACCATGAGTGTTTTATTACCCGTAACAGAAAGTATATTTAGGCAGAGAGGTGTAGATCCCTACAGGAGCTTGGCCTGATGGAGTGACACCCATGGGTCACTTCACTGAGGCGTCACTGAGTGATAAAGTTGCCGACCCACCTGTGTGGACACACGGCCACAGTTCTTGCAGACTCACAACCCTGCTTGGGTATGTGGGACAGAAACCCGACGACTGTGCTACTGCCCACTGCAGAGGGAAAACGTGAACACCAGACCAATAAACACAGGACCTACTCACGAAGGAAGGAGCTGTGCGCTGGTGGGAACTCTAGATGCGTGATTTCACCAGGAGAACCCCCAGCTTCTATGTGCGCTCTTGTGTCACTGGGGACCTAATCAGTGAAAGACTTCAGGTATGTTCATTTCCTCGAGACCTCTAGGGAATGTTTCATGGGGTTGTAATTGTGATGTTTTCTAAAAAACATGTTTGTAGTTAAATAGAAATAATATCAGAGTTAACTTGAAGAATATTCATCCCCAGTAGTATTAAACATGTTTGTAGTTAAATAGAAATAATATCAGAGTTAACTTGAAGAATATTCATCCCCAGTAGTATTGAGATTGTTTTCAATAGCACTTAGCATCTAAATTTAAATACTTAAAAATACAACTTCTC